ACCGACATGGACCCCCGAGACGCGTTTTGGCCCCGACAAGGAAGAGAGCTGCAGGCGCGGATGGAGGCGTCTGGCCGATGTTGTTTGTCACAGTGTGCGATGGCGGACGTGCGAGGCGTGGATTCTCAGTACTGTGTTGTGTAAGTCGGGTTGGCGCCCGATTCGGGGAGTCCCATGAGGATTGACGATGGCTAGAGGCGCACTCTGCGACGTGCCTCTAGTTCGACTACGAGTGCTTACTCCAGTGGGGGGGGGGATCAAACGAGACATGTCATGTCGTGAGCGTGGCAGCGTGAACAGACATGCAGTCAATGGCTGTGCTACCTAAACATGGATAGGTCCATGGGGTTCCTCCCAGAACCAGATAGGGAGGGCCTCGACTGCCATTCCTGCAGACGAAAATGGTCTGCGTATCAATCAATGCACAGACAAACATGTCCTCGTTCCCCGTAAAACCACCGCAGGAAGGGGAATAGCATCCGGAACGCCGTCCTGACCCGCTGGTCACAGCTCGTGTTTGACGCCTTGAGCAAAAGGAAATAAGAAAAAAAAACCCGCAAAGCAAAAGAGAACCTGTCGTCCATCCGTCCGTCTGCCCGCCTGTGCGAGCGCTCACTCGGCCGTCCTCTCCAATTCCTATATCGCGGCTAAACAGGCCACCTCATCGCGCCTTTCAGCCGCGCAAGAAAAGAAACTCTCAACGCGTGTGTCGATGTCGACTGAAGCTGGTGGTCGGGGGTTTGCTAAGCGGCGAAGAGCCGAGTCGCAGCAGAGACCGACATGGAAGAGCAGCATATAAACTACCTCCATTGTTGATCATATGCTGGACTAGAGGGGTGGCTGCTCATAGCCGGAGGGGTGGAGCACCATGGCCAGGTCGCGGTCGGCCTGGTCATCGCGCGGAGACGATGCATCAACATAGCCACCGCGGCCGTCGTCCTACATGACACCGCCCTGAAGCAGTCGTGCATCGACGTCGTTCATGTCGGGAAGGTCCATGCCGCCGCTTCGAGCCTCAATGTTCTGCAGGCGGCCCTCCATGTTTTGGAAGCGGGGCTCGTAGGAGCCGATGCGGTTCTCGAGGTTCTCGAGGCGCTTGTTCATGTTGTCGAGAGCCTGTTCGATACGCATGAAGCTACCGCTCATATCGTGCGACAGGCGATCAATCTTGTTCGTGAAGCTGCGCATGCTCTGAGCGAGGGGCGTGTTCTCCTGGCCGGGCAGGGCGGTCGCGACGCGGGGCTCGTGGTTGTGTCGCGACTCCTGGACGGCGAAGCGCCACTGGTTGCCGAGCTGGACCTCGCAGACAGCCTTGGCGCGCCAGGGGCAGTCGACCTTGCGCGTCGAGGGGTTGCGCTTCTTGGCGGTGCTGTTGTACTTGACGCCGCCGCGGTCGCAGACGAGGTCGTAACGAGTGGGTTTGCCGTCGCGGTAGTTGGAAGCGCGAAGCTTGACGACGCCGTAGCCTTGATCCTTGGCTACGCGCTGGACCGACGAGAGGAGGTCGTCAAAGCTGCGAAAGATGCCCTCGGGCGGCGGCAGCAGGGCCGGCGGCGGCGAGTTCGGCATCGCGACCACGGAGGAATCCACTTTGGCGGTATTGAGGGGGTTATTCGGGGGAGACGGGTATTTGGGTTGTCAAAGGACGAGACAAGGTCGGACAAAAGGCCGAGGGCAGCTGCAGTCAAATACTTTGCTGCAAAGGTACAGTTAGCGACGCGTGCACATCAGCACGACGCGGGCATGCGCCTTACCTTGGACTCTGGACGCTCGTGAGGACAGTGGGCAGTGGGGAGTGGACAGTAGACAGTGGTAGGAGGGACGAGGTTGGAGTCGGAGTTTTCCAATCCGCACGGCCTGAACTAGATTGTCAGTTGATCCGGCCACCAACACTACCGCGGGCACTGACGCCACGCCACGATCCTGGCAGCAGCTGGCCGCTAAAGACTTGGCTCTGTGTACGTACCTGGTATGCCCGGTTCTGATAAGCCACGTCCTGTTTGCTTCTTGTCTGAATGGGACGCCGCAGTGATTGTCGATAAAAATTCGAGTAGTGCCCTCAGAATCGCCAGGGTATGCTGTTGCCTGTCGATATCTGATATTGGCTTTGACAGTTGGTGCAGGTACGTGAAAGAGAAGCAACCAGGTGGGTGAATACAGGAACAGTGCTGTGGCTGATGGCGCTCGGGCCATGTCCTTGGGAGCGGCGCCATGATGCACGTGATCTGCAGTCGCCCGCCAATTCCCAGGCATTCACCCTTGAATACAACCGCCCGCCCCCACTACTCCAACCTGGGGGATGAAGCCGATTTGCGCTTTGTCTGGGTAAGCGTCTCTTGGAGAAGGGTGTTTCGGGTTGACTTTCGTTGGTCCATTCCCCCAAGGGTGACCACCACGAACGATTCCTCACCGGCCAAACCTCTGTCGACTCGAGCTCCCCTCCATTTGCCTAGTTTGCCTTTCTTGCTCCTCTGTGAGCCAGCTGGCACGGGCTCTTGCGTCTTCAGACCCCAAACGACTGGACCGAGACGAGCGAACGAACCGGAACCGAGGGCCACCAGTGTCCCGCCTATAGCAATCATCGAGTGACTCTTGGTTGCAGCCCTGATCCCTTGAACAAACCTAAACACAGCAAGTTGCTGCTTAGGTTCATCGTGACGAACACGGGTTCGTGTCGGCCATTGGTTCATCGTGGGGTGCGAACTCAGACACATCACACATCCAATCCACCTTTTGCCCGACTGGTCGTTTCGTGCTCAGTTGCAACCAAAGCAACCAAGACGCCACCACGAGATACCAGAGCTGCCAAGTGACAGTAGCTCTTCTTCAGCTGGACGTGCTGCGCGCCCTACATCACATCTTGGACAATTCGAAGCTGTACAACCAAACCATGGCCAACCCACCTGCTGCCGGCGACAAGCCTGGTGGTAGCCCCAAGCAAGCAGAGTGGGACGAGAAGGAGCTGCAGGAGTCTCTCGAGCACCTCAAACTCTTGCACATCAAGGTATGGGACGGTCCATTGCATCGCGGCAGGACACGTTGCTGACGTGAAGTAGCTCCGGGAGCTCAGAACAACCATCCCTAGAATGCTGGAGCCACTGAAAGAGAAGCAGCAGAGTCGTATGTCCCTCCACACTTTCAGGTTTCCTCAGCATCGCATATACTGACCTTTCGTAGCTGAGGCCCTGTTCACTTCGTTTTCCAACGCCGTCACAACGGGCCATCGTGAGGTCCAAGATTTTACCGAAATGCGAAAAGATGCCAAAACGACGAGAATACTTGATCATGCGGCACAGAGGCGAAAAGAAGAACCAAAGGGCATCAAGCCTTGGAACGGGAAGCAGGACCCAGACTGGATGACGCCCCCTGGCTCGTCCTAAAATCGTGTTTCTGCTTGTTATTTTGCTCTTGAGACTCTGGGGGCCTCCGGTGGACAAGGGCCCGGAGCATTAATCGGATAGGCGCATGAAGGGTTGGGTGGCCAGTATTTTGGCCTTTTATGGGATATATCATGGGGGAGTTCAGGTGTGGTGGACACAGCATCATTAGATACCATGTACCTTTGACTTCACGGGCCTCGTTTGTCTTCAGCCTGCATTGTTGTTGCTGTTTAATTTGTCACGCCTTGGTTCTCGGGCGACAGGAGTCATGTAGAAAGAGCTAACCATGCATTATAACCCTTTGAAGCACAATGCTCTCCCAGGACTGCCCGATCCCTGAATTCTCGTCAGGAACAGCACCGCGAAGCGTGATGAAGTGCTTGATTCTGGCCATAGGAACAAAAAGACAGACCCAAAATGCTGGAGCTTGCCAGACAAAATACGAAGACTAACATTGTCCGCGCCAGCTAACGCCATCTGCACAACTGGCTGACTCTAGACGAAATGCATAATGGGTTTGCTGTTGTGAGTGGGTCCCGCCACGACGAGGGGCTGGCTGCTGCGTCGGCTGATCCCCGGGCAAACAAATGTCGAGGCGCACCAGATCAGTAAGCCCCACCAGCCCTCTCTGATTGGCATCCTAAGCGGGCTTGTTCTTCCCACACGAATTTTCCACATACTCTCGAAAATTGTCCCGCCTTCGACCGATCTTGCGAACCTTCAACCAACCCCTAACGACAACAGCAGACAAAATGGCGGGCCAGCGTGTTACCTATCGCCGTCGCAACCCGTGAGTCTCTCCCGTGGGACTATGAGCATTCACTCGACGATGCTCGCGCCCTCGACGTCGTTCGAACGCTTCGTACAAGAAGAGAGGAAGAATAAGAGGCGACTGACGCGGAGTTTGCAGCTACAACACTCGGTCCAACCGGACTCGAATCATCAAGACCCCTGGTGGCGCCCACCGTGTCTTGCACGTCAAGAAGCGCGGCACTGCCCCCAAGTGCGGCGACTGCGGCACCAAGCTGCCTGGCGTAAGTTCACCCCACGACTCCAGTACGAGGGGAGGGACGAGGACGATCACGCACCGAGGGGCCTGATTGATGGATGGGATGGCGAGGAAGATGAACACGACTGGGACGACTCGCCGGCTGCATGACACGCCTCGACGGACACGAACGCCTCACTACATCATCGGTCAATCCCTCGCCTGTTTGTCGACAACAGGATGATTTTCGCAGAGGACAGAAGGATTGAACAAAGAGCCTTCCGCTGACCACCCACAATAGATCCCCGCCCTCCGCCCCCGCGAGTACTCCCAGATCTCCAAGCCCCAGAAGACCGTCCAGCGCGCCTACGGTGGCTCGCGATGCGGTAACTGCGTCAGGGACCGCGTCGTCCGCGCCTTCCTGATCGAGGAGCAGAAGATCGTCAAGAAGGTCCTGAAGGAGGCTGGCCAGAGCGAGAAGAAGAAATAAGCAACTCAAATCACTTTTTTCTCCTCTTCCACACACGTAAAAAATTTCTGCGTCTCTCTTCGGTCCGGAAATCATTTCGACCCAACGCTCGGCACACGGAATGGCACGGGGGGTTGGTTCATTGCGCTTTGGTGTTCAATAGGGCAAAAGGAACTGCATGATGCGGCGAGGGATGCGCACGCCGGCCGGCAGAGGGCTGGTCGGTCTCCTGCACTCCAGGCAGGATTGATACCGCAATGATACGGATTTACGATCCGACTGTATGACGACTGTGATGCGATGTGTGATGCTTTGAATGATGACAGTCGAATTTTGTAGGCAACTTTTGAACGTCAATGTGAACTTGGGACTTGTCGTAATACATGTCGAGCCCAGGGTGGTCGTGCATCCACAGTGCTCAGGTGCAGCGACGCAGACAGGGACCTGGGGTAATCATGACGTTGGAGGTTGTGAAATCGCCGAACCTCTGAGACTCAACTTTTTCTTCCACACCACTCCCAGT